ACAACAAAATACCGGCTGTAGAAGCCTGACTCCATCTGAGTGGGGAGTATCTCCTCTATAGCCCCTTTCTCTAGGAGTGATACGATCTCCTGACCTAAAATCGAGGCGTCCCCAGGACGTACTGTCGTAGGAAGAACCCTGCTGAAAGGAGGTGGCCCTTTCCAAAACTGGATAGTGTACCCGTGTCGAATGGTGCGTAGTACGCACCGTGAAATATCGGGCAGGCGTCTCCACGTGGCCCAGTTGTCTGCCAGGGGTCTTGGGTGTTCTATGGTTGAAACATAGACCTGATTTTCTCATATAGGATCCCGAAGCACCTGAGTGGTGGGAAAAACTATAATGGGAAGATGTCCGATTGTTCTGTTGGGCCTGCCTACTGGCCCAAAAGTGGGAGCCTTGGAGGCCATCATAAACGGGCCATGCTCGCATGACCCTTGGGCTTTTTCTCGAACTCTGAAGGCTGGAACGCGCAGAGTATCCGAGGAGGTGCTCGTCGTAAGGACTCGAACTAAAACTGCCCGAGGCGCAATATGCGGTGGGACCATCAAGATCGGAGTCGGGAGGCCACAGCGAGAGAGTCGAATACGCTTGTGCGGTTCGTACACTCTCTCTAAAGGAGGGCCTGGCCTCCGAAGACGAGCAGAGGAATCAGGAACTGCTATTAGGGGCCTGAGGACGAGAGGGATTGGCCATCGAACTGAGGTCTAACCGCTTGCGTTGTCGTGTGAAAGCCGGTGGGCGAGACCTAGGACTCCAGTCCTTACGAGGGGGTAACCTAGGCGATGGCTCATGCCGCTGGACCTCGCGGTGCTGTAAAGACGAAGAGCGTGAGCGAGCCGCAGGTGGCTGACGCTCCACTTCCCTAGCTCTGCGAGGGATGAGTTGACGGAACGCAGCGGACTGCTGTTTCGCTGCTCTAAACTTCTCCACGACCGTAGTGACCAAGTCTCCGAACAGACCGTCACTCGAAATGGGGGCATCCAGGAGAAAGGTCCTGTCCTTCTCCTTAATGTCAGTGAGAGTAAGCCAAAGATGGCGCTCAGCTGACACTAACCCTGCCATGGACTTGCCCACTGCCCGAGCTGTGTGCGTGGTAGTCTTAAGCGCCAAGTCAGTAGCTCGTCTGAGCTCTTTAACGGCCTCTGGAGTCAGGCCTTCTCCCTCGTCCAGCTCCTTGAGCACATCTGCCTGATAAGCCTGGAGTACACCCATAGAATGGAGTGTAGCCGCGGCCTGCCCAGCGGCCATGTAAGATTTCCAGATCAAAGCGGAAGTAACCCTACACGGCTTGGACGGTAGCAGAGGGCGTCCAGTTTCAACTGAATTTGCGCCGGCTCACTATCCCACTCTAACCCCAGCTTATCCACAGCGCGCGTTACAACATCTAATAGTTCGCTGTAAGACAGGGAGGTACGTTTCTCCTGTCCACTCGGAGGGAGAGAACTGCACAGTTCGCCCAATAAATCCTCAGAATCTTCGAGCGCTTGCACATGGCCCGGAGAGAGCGAGAGAAAAGGAGAAAACTCCGTTGACTCGCCCTCTAAACGCCTCGGCTCGCATGCGTCACCCCAAGTGACCGTCTCGTGCGGTGCCTCGGCAACCGCAGTAATGGGATAGCGGGGGTTAGACGCGAGGCCTACTTTATTTGAGAAGGCCGCGAACCTCGAGTGCAGTGCTTTTAGCCGTAGGCTATCACAGTGTCGACAATCAGAAAGGCCGCTAAGCGCCGCTTGGGCATGTTGTAGGCCCAAACATTGCACGCACCTGTCATGAGTGTCTCCTCCTGCGATGAACCTGTCACACGGCTCGATGCATCTCCTGTAGCTCATCGTGTCCGCTGAAGAGGAGTAAACTGCTC